GTATCAGTAAGATGTAGCAAATTTCCAACGAAACAACAATATTAAGGTAGTGCATGCCAAGTAGAACAATTGGGCTGAAGCAAGAATAAGAGATAATGGCTGGGGGGATTATTGAATGACACCCATACAATGTTAAAAGGAAGGCCGCCAATGAATGGAATGCAGGGTCAAATTCTGGCAGTGTCGCGGGTAGCAGAATGTCCGTCTACTACGCCAGTCGCCGGGTTCAGTTCCTGTCACTGGTCCACACTGTATCAGCACCCTGTGGCAAAACGCCGGTCCACCACGCTGGCGTTCCGGGTTCGGAACCAACCGCTCGCTCGTCACTGGCTCAGCGGCAGAATGTTCGTCTACTGCGCTGACGTAGTTCTCTACCCGTTTAGACAGGATGCTTCACTGCCTTTCTTTCTAGTCACTGATACGAATTACAGAATGCAAACCCAGGCTGAAACATACCAGGCTTGCCAGTGCGATATGCATTTTTCCGCTAAACTGTATTATAAGTATAGTCTAACATTTAACTTGTGCGCTCAAAATCATCGTAAATTTGCACAAAAGGAAAATGAATATTCCATTGAGCGGTCGTTCATTGAAAAACTTATTTGTGCGCTCAGTAGCCCACAAATTAATGAACAATTTCTGCTTTTAACGATCGTTCTTTGATAATGGCTCAGCTGTCCATTAACCAATTTTCCCACCAAAACTTTTAAGTGCTCGAACGTGAGAACCGCGCATGCCTGGGGGCTGAATTTGAAATCTTTAAGCTGTACTTGGACAGGGAAATGTCTCGCTAGTTAGCAATTTTGTACGTGGCCTTTCAGCTATTTCCTCTTAAAATTTTAGCCTTTCAGCTGTTTTGGTCCTCGAATTAGCAGTTTTCCCTCCAAAATTTTCGCATGCTTGTGCCTGGGCTCAGAATTGCGTGAAGACCGGATCTGTACTGAATTGCACGGAGGAGGGAGGCTCGAAAAGATAGGAAAATGGAAAAGTTGCAAGGTGCATCAACGGCGAGATGAAAACAATGAACTGATTCAAGTATCCAAGTAAGTATCAAATACTGCACTAAAAAGAGTCAAGAGGGTGTCAGTTAGACGGTTTTAAGTAGAACAAAATTACATTTTCCAGTTTCAATCAAAACAGCCATGCAAAGTTTGCCAATTATGTTGTCAGTACGAAGAATCAAATTAATGGAACTTACATGCACTTTAGTTTCTTGTCCTTTGGCATCCGTTGAGAGGCAGGCCAGAAAATGCCGTACAACGAATTCATACAGCAGCCATTCCAAGCCAACCAGTTCATTTGGTCCAGCATATTTCAATGGATGAATTGGTGGATGTGCTTCGTCCGTTTGTGTACCATTTCGTGGATTCGGCCCTCGAGAAGCAACCTTAACATGTTAAATTTCGATAGAAGCTAACCTGTGAATGTAATCCCAACGTTCCTCCTTACAAATGCTAACCGACCTATCTCCGGATTTTTGGATGTGCGTAAGCTACCGATTTAACACATCAAGCATTGCTCTTTTCATAGCATAGACTGTCCAATACCATGCAATGCATTCATTTATCAAACTGGACTTATATATGTGCGAAAATGGGGTTTTAGCATCTTCAAAGTGTATTTCAAATGTGTAAGTTATGTCACAAAAGACAATGTGATTAATGCTTGAATGAAATTGTAAGTTGCGGCGGTTATTATTGTTATGATCACCACTATTATTTTATTACTATTATTACTACCAAATAACGACAGTGACGCAAAGGCTGATAACTAACTCCTTTTTTCGTTCGATCATAAAGTAATACATATTTAGTGATTTTTAATAAATAGTTACCAACTTGTTGGAAGAATATTTTGGCTCAATACTTGCCTAGTTCTGTATTACAATAATGTAAGTTCAGAAAAGAAAACGCAACAAAAGGCAAAAGTAACCTCTTGCGCAAACTCGCCCCATTCCGTGCTCACCAATTGTTGCTGCACGTAAGTAGATAAATCTATGTCATTAGGAAATTTGTTAGTTTCTGTACGAGGGTATGATATGTATCCTGAAAAACATGATATGTATTCTTTGTATTTACCACAACAACCGGACAAAAAACGAATTTGAACTAAAAATCTGGAGTATGATTGTTTTTGCAAATTTGAGCGAAACATCGAAAAACTTGAAATGCAAAATCTAAAAAAAACTTGTTTAGGAATTTTGGAATTAGATATTAAAATCTGAAATATTTTTGAAATATGACTGTGTTTTTAAAACTGAAAATTCAGAGAAATAAAATTGGAAAAGTTAGAGGTCATAAACATGAAAAACACAGTAAAATTAGAAACCATCCAAGATCTTTTTTTAGTACACAATTTGCAGAAATGTGCTATGACTTGCCTACAGACATTGTTCTTATTCAATTTGTGAAGAAAACTGTTGCTGCTATTGGCAGCCTCGCCTTGTGACTTCTGTTTCAAAAGCTATATAAGTTAGCACATTAATTCTGTATTGCTTTTTTTAAAATCAAGCACAGCAAGCATATATGCGCTGGCTGGTGAACAAAATGTGACATAAAATCTAATCACACTAAAAGCGAATTGAAGTTATACAGTAATGCCTAATCAAAATGTTTGAATTCAGAGACACTATTTAGTAATCTGTTCAAAATATTTAAATGACTAAAAAAAATCCGTGCCAAGTAACCTTTATTATACAGTCGTTCGGCAACGGCCATTGCTTCTTTTGCACTTAATTTTAGTTTTCTGACAGCCAATTTTTCTAGCTCCACCGTATCCAGTGCAACTGGCCTCCATCGGTTTTTTGGTTTCTTTATTACTGATAAAACACGTGCGTTACCACCTGCCTCCTCACAACAGTCCAGAAATATCTGTAACAA